CTTCAATGACCGGTCGAGGAAGGTACTGGACCGGTTTCCGCTTGAACAATACCTAAACAGCTAAGTCAGTCTCGTTGCAATTTTCTTCCTGCCATCCATTCCGTTTCATAGCCAGCGCATTGTGGAATATTTTCACGACATACCATGGTCCTTCAAGGAATATTAGTTATAATACGATCGATCATAGACTGCTCGGGATGGTGGAAAGCATGGATGTGACTAGAAAGCGCAAACAATAGTTAGTTATACGTATGACAGAGACAAAGGACAAAGAATCCAGAAGATAAAGAGCAATGCGCGGTGCAAAAAGAACCCAAAGCACGTAAAAGACTCATTGTGCTTTGAGACGTGGGTTCGATGCGAAATGCCTGCGCGCGGAGAGATCCTTGGGATCCATAAAAGGCGATCCCATGGCGCATCTGCAAGCCTGGGCAGTCGGCAACGAACATGCGAGGTCTGGATGGGAGTGTAGATCGCGGATTTACTCACACGACGCGTATTCAATCGCGCTTCACACCAGTTTCGCGGACCCGGGGCGACCAAGACACGAGACGAGGGAAGCGTGGAGCCGCAAGCTCAGTCGAAAGTGGAGTCGAGATCTAGATGCGGGTATAATATCCCAGGGAGACGGGGCTGCGTGCGGGGAAGATGCGCGAGGCGTGAGGGATGGCAGCAGTGAAGAAGAGGCACTGAGAGAGAAGGCGAAGAGAAGAAAGAGAAGAGGAGGAGAAGGCAGAAAGGAGAGAAGCGGTCGCCGCAAAAGAGCGACGGCAGAACCGGGCCCCATGAGGATCATTGCGGCAAGTGGTGGGAGGGCCGCCGAGGCACCGGGCACGGTGATTGGCCGAGAGGAGGAGAACAGAACGGACAAGACGTCGGGCGGACGCTCGGTAGGGATTCGCTGCCGCTATACCGCTTCGGGCTGCTTCTCCTTCCCTTAACCCTCTCCCACTCCCCGTCTTTGCCCCCCAGTGCCCTTTTCCTGTCTGCTCGTCCCTCTCTTTCCCCCATTAACCCCATGTTTTTGCACTCATTCGACTCGTCATTTCCCGGAGATTATTCTGAGATAAATATGGTATTGCCTGCACTGATTCTATTCCGTTTACCTGGCTCTATCTGATCACGGCCTGACCCGTCTGCGGGGACGATCTCACTGGCCTTGCGACTCGAGATCAACAAGCCAGTAGATTTGCAGCCACATCCAGATTTACATACCTTTCTGACTTACTACAATCATATACTTGGGGTTTTTGGTATTTCAGTGCTACTATTATTGTCGTAGCAAGCTGTCTGTTCTGTTTGTGTCATAGTTCGACTTGACAGTTCACGTGTAGTTTCACCCGGGTACTTGACCTAGTATCCATTCAATGCTCGGAGCTTGCCCATTCTCGCACCCACCTCGTTCTGACTCAGTAGAAGCAGGTATGCATTTTATAATCCCTTTATTTGCATCTCCCGAACTATCTTGGCTGAGATCTTTGCTGCTACCGGATTATAGTCGGCTATAGTATCACTTTGCATGCTTGATCAGCTTATCATGTGTGCATGGTACCAGCTTGCCAGCTGCTAATCAATATCTACTAAAGAGTATAGCCTGCTCTTTATGTATCTGGTACAGACAATCGGCGCAACTCGGTATCAATGAAATTACACGGACTCAGACTCCATAGCGAGCAAAAGTAGCCCAGGCTTCTTAGCAGTATACATAACAATTAGCAGAAGCTCCGCCGATCTGATACTTTGGTATACAACAGATACTTAGACAGCCAAATCTAGAACAAGCTAGCTTTAGTATGTGTCGCGTGAAATTCTTGCTCTCCGCTAGGTCATACATTGAAAGACTACCCTCAAACTGTAGTTATCTCGACTACAGACGTCCACCATTACTACTAACTAACTAATTCTGTTTTATAATCTAGACTCTTATACTCGCCTCAAAATAATATAGAGACTGATCTTTTCATTTCGTCCAATACTATGATCGCGATCAAGTTACATTATTGGCTAACTATAGGGTACATCAGCACCACCCACCGTATTCAACAATCCACAACAACAAAAACGGTACTTTCCTTTATCACTTGCATGTAGAAGCTTGTTTCCTGCCATAAACTACTCTAAATATATCACTACTCTCTTCTATTGTAATCGGAAACTGTCGTTCAGACAAAGCCTTTCATACAAGAACCGGAAAATAGAGATTATGCAAACTCTCCCCGTCATTAAGAACATCAATCAAGCACCCACCACATTCTAGAAACAGTCTACATGTAAGACATAAACCTAAAGCCACCTAAACAAACCCATAGTAGGTGAAACATCACCCTAAACTCTTTCCTATGTGTTAAGTTCGTACTTACTCTTACCCCCATAGTAACCCCAATCTGACCTATCACCCACCCAGATATATACTAGTAAGTACTTACCCAAAACAAACTACATTCCCCACAACAACGCAAGGCATATCCAACCTCTCCACCCATGAAAGAAATCTATCAACTAATTATATCCCCAAATAGCACCCAATACTTAACTCACTCACATTGTGCATGAAACAAAGCATGAAGTGATAAAAGAAGAAGAAAGCAACGGAAGTCTCATCTGCAGTGTGACAATCCATGGGAACGATCCCGATGCGCGCTAAACTACATTGGGACTGATGGCTGATGATAAACTTTGCAAAACTGGCTGATCAAGTGGGTCCGAGTTCGGGCGATGGGTTGCACGTGGATGAGCCAAACTGAGCAAACTGGCGCGCACCTCGTCTGATGAGTTGGGGCGGTGTGTGTGTGCGTGTTGTGTCTGTGGTGCGGCTGGTTGTGGCGCGGGCGGTGGATTACATCATGGTTCTTTATCCAACTATGTGTGAATATTATTTATTATGGTATTGAATTTTCAGCACTTTTTGGTATCTATATCTATACAGTTTGCTCTCTCTCATGCTGTAAAGTAAACTACCATAAATCCAATCCAGCTACCCACGACTCCAACGGCAGAGTAACTGCTCATGAACATCAGGGGCAGGAATTGCAACCGCTCCAGTCCGAAAATGACCTGGTGCAGGATGGAGCAGTAGATGATCAGTGGGATGGCAATAGTCAGGTACAGCAGGGAGAAGCGATCGGCGACGAAGATCCGGCGCCGCTCGGAGACAGGTGCCACCTGATCAAATACGTAGAGGAACAGCACGAGCCACAGGACTGTGTAGACCGTTTTAATCGGGAATTCGGCGGCAGTAAAGAGTAAGGGGAACAAAGAAACGTGTCCGGCGACAGCCAGGGGGCGGAACGCGCTAAAGTAGCGTCGGTCTTTGAGCGCGATGAGGCTGAACGGGATGATGATCAGAAGTACCGCTTTCTCATGGACGTGCCAGCCGAACAGGAATGATGCATATCCGCACAGGGTGATGGCGCCGACAAAAGTCTCCCATTCAGGGTTGCGCCAGAGCTTGATCAACGGGAGCTAGCGACCGTTAGCGGTGTTGCGCGGAATCAAACCGGATAAAAACACTTACCAACTGGAACAAGAAAGTCAAGATAAACGTGTGCTCCTTGGTGACTTCAGGAAGCACAGCGAAAGACGTGTCTCCGACGAGACCACGGGTGACACTGACCAGAGCGTCCTGATTGACTGGAAGACCCAACCGCGGAGCAACTGCACTAATTAGTTCGTCTGGACGAAAGCATGGGGTTGTGATGGTTGAACCTACGCTGGATCAAGATGCGATCAGTGAATGAGTACATTGCCCAAACGTTGGGTGCCCAGTACGCATGGCACAACCCTCTAGAGAAGGGGAAGAGCCTGTCCTTCAATTGAAGCAGTTGACCCCAGGAGGCGAACGGTCCGAAAGCCAAGGCAAACACGCCAACCACGCACACTCCGAGCTTGATGATGTTGAAGAAACGCGGGCGGAAAATCGACTTGGGGTCCAGACAGTAGACCCGCAGCAAGTAGACGAAGTATGCCAAGGCGAGGTATAGATAGATGTGCTTCAGACATAGCAAAACAGCAAAGCTAATCCCACTGTAGAGAAGAGTCGACTGCTTCCGCGCCAGAGCGATTGACAGAATCAAGATGCCGTAAAGAAATCCGTTATACTGAAAGTGAATGTGGTCGATGATAAGCAGACCGGGGGACAAGAAGATGGACAGGCTGGCGATGTGCGCAAGGTGTTTGTTTTGTTGCGATACCGACTTGACAAATCTAGCCGTTCCTGAATCAGCGAGTCAAACGACGCAGTATATATTATGGACGAAATACCTGCTCAAAGCGAAGAGCAGAACCAGCTCCGTGACGATAACCGTGGCCCTCTGGAAGTAGATTGTTTGCCATGAATCATGATTGAGGTTATTGACAATCAACATCGCAGGGTCTGCATAACGTGCTGCCTGGGAGAGTACCCATTCGAATGCCGCGAAAAAGGGAGGGTAGTCGAGCGTCCATTCCGACGTTTTCTAATCGTAAATCCGCAACTTAGTATGAATCACCCTTGAAGCGGTATGCGCTGGCGGGTACGTACCTCGTAGTACCATTCCTTGACGGGCAACGAGTGTGTAATCGCAAGCCAGTTTCGATGAACCTCAAAGTCGGTGGATTTGCTGCACGTTCCAGCCACAATTCAGCTGTGAGTTCTGCAACCTCGCGGTGCTGTTCTAGACCATTTGCGGACCAACGTACTATGCGGGGAACAAAAGGATTTTGAAAGCAGTTGCAACGATGGCGCACTGCGCCAAAGAAGGGTATAGATCGGTCATTGGTAGTCTTGCGCTTGACGCGCCGCCCGGAGAAGGAAAAGGAAAGGAGCGTGGGGCATGGAAAGGCGAGAGGAAGTTGTGCCAGTTCTGGGGAGGGAGAGGAACAATGACAAGAATGCTAGGCCCATGGAACCCATCCGGGGCGGGGAGCACGTGACCGCGACAGGGGACGGTGAAGCAGAAAGGCCAATCTGTCCCCTGCATTTCCCGGCAGATCTTCTGGTTACGATTTGCTGCGGCAATGGACTTGGCTTCGGACGTAGGAGTCCGTCACTCGGTCGTTCTCTCTAGCTTGGAAATTCGTCATCTGGTCGACTTCTCCCCCGCAACTACCTCTATTGCCAGGGAAATCCGTTTCTGCGTGATCGCCATTGTGGTTGGGTGGACCACCTCGCGCGTTGTCTCCGCCTTGTTGAACCGGAGATCGTCGTCGGACCAGTAACAAGATACACCAAGCTTACTCGGAGCTTCACCTTGCTTCTGCTTTTGCTTCTGCTTCTTATCTGGCTCTCCCACTGTCAATCCCTCTCTATTTCTTGCCCATTGACTGCTTCTGCCGTGCTTTGGATACATACTTAGCCTTTCCCCTCATTGTTGTTTGTTGAACCTTTAGTACCTGCATAACTTGTTTGCGTGACGAGCCTCCGATTGCATAGACATCATGAAGATCCCTGCTTCTCTTCTTTCTTTGGCTGCTGCCGCCGCAGCTCAATCGGTGATTGAAAGTTCCAGCTTTGGCTTCGGCCAGACGTAAGTGTCACTGTTGCAACCGGTCTCACCGGAGTCAATTCCTGATATACTAATGCCTCCCAGGTTATCAACAGATGGCGGTGCTATTTCTGGGTGGCAGACTGGAGGAGAATCGCACAATCCCGACATTGTATGCTGATCACTCCCATCACGAAGCTCGAAGCCATTGTGTACTAACTGCTTCGTAGCTTTCTAACAAGATTATCCTGACACCGCCTTACCCTGGCAACACAAGGGGATTTGCTTGGTCCCAGACCCCGTGAGTCCTGTCGGCGTCTGCTATTTGTCTAGTGATATTGACCCAATTTATAGTGTATCGCAATCGGAATGGACTGCAGAGTTCCAATTCCGAGCGACTGGTCCCGAAAGGGGTGGAGGTAACCTCCAGCTCTGGTATGCCAAGGACGGCAAAGACAGAATCGGCACTTCCAGCATCTATACCGTCAACCAATTTGACGGTTTTGCTCTGGTGATTGACAGTCATGGCGGAAGGGTAAGTCAGAAGCTACCGTCTGATGGCCAATGCTAACTGTTCACCAGGGTGGCAGTGTGCGCGGGTTCCTCAACGATGGCACTACAGACTACAAGAGCCACAGAAGCGTTGATAGCTTGGCCTTTGGTCACTGCGACTACCCTTACCGCAACCTTGGTCGGCCCTCCACCGTCCGCCTAAAGCACACCAAAGCCGTCTTCGAGGTTACTGTCGACGACAAGCTGTGCTTTTCCACCGACAAGGTGCGTCCATCCAAGTCACACCTCCATTAGCATCAACCTCCTAACCCAAGCAGGTCGCTCTCCCTACCGGCAACGTCTTTGGTCTTACCGCCGCAACCCCCGAGAACCCCGACTCCTTCGAAGTCTTCAAGTTCGTTCTCCAATCCGCCGAGTCTGGATCAGGCAGCACTGTGCCCGTCCAGCAGCAGAACACCAACCAGCAGCCCATTGCCGCTCAGCAACAGGCCGTTCCTCAACAACAGCAGCAGGCACCCCCTGTCAACACTGACTTCGAGCAGCAGTATGCCGACCTGAGCAACCGCGTTCAGGGCATCAACCAAGCCACCGACAACATCCTTCGTGAACTCGGAAGCCAAGACACCAAGGCCGCCAACCGCCAAGTCGAGCTGCTCCAGAAGCTCGCCAGCAAGGACCAGATCGCCAGCCTCGACGCCAGACTCCAGAAAATGGAACAGATGCTGCAGACCATCCAGCGTGACCTGGAGGGCAAGGACTACCATGGCCGCTTCAACCAGCTTCAGGAAACCTTGCGCTCGTCTCACCTCAGCTTGACCGAGAACCTCTTGGGAGGTGAGCATTCCCCCTTTTCTTTTTTCACTCCATACGGATAGCAACTAACACGCTCACTTACAGTCATCACCTCCTCCGCCCCGCGCATGGGTTTCTTCATCTGCATGATCATCGCCTTCCAGGGTCTTCTTGCCGTGGCTTACATCATCTACAAGCGTCGCCGTGCGAACATGCCCAAGAAGTTCCTCTAAACATTTTCTCATCTCTCTTCCCTATTGTACCTCTACCAACGACCTGAAATGACCTCCCAGTCAGCTAGTCTGCGGTAACGAACGATATCACGAGAAACCCGACAGCGCCGTTGTACGGTGTGGGTGTTCCTTCTCTTCGTTATCTGATAAAACCCATCATGTGTAACTATTCTTTTATCTTATACTAGCTAACGTTATATTATTTCGCGTTCCTTAAACTTACCCCCCTGGTCTTCTGTACATGTACATCTACAATTACTCTTGCTCGACTTTGATCTCGTTTACTTTCCTGTGCGATGAAGCGCGATATAGATAGTCAGGTCAGGGATCGATCAATCAATCAATCAATCAATCAATTCATTGATGCATTCATCGAGCAATGTGTTTACTAGACAGCTTGCGATTCATAAATTGTAATATTAAAACACCAGACAAAATCGCTCTATAATATTGATCATCCTTAGCCTGCCTTATTCCACCCCGAATCCTCTGATACGTATTACACCATCCGAATTATATACTAAGCAGGCCCAACCTAGTACGTAGTATTACTAACCTCCGGGACAAGAGAAGGAAGGAGGAAATGAAGGATTCTGCTTACAGCCGACTTTTCTGCGAGTAAATCCCGTAGTGCGGTATTGCCCGGATACTACGGAACCAGAAGGGTGAAAAGAGGAGAAATCAGTACCACCACCACCACCACTACTACTACTACTACTACTGCAGTTCTACGGAGAGATATTGAGTGGATGGAACGGAAATGAAGTGTAAAATGCATGAAATTTCAGAAATGGATATTTGTGTGTTGGTAGACCGAGACGCACCACTGATCATGAAAATTTAAGGGGTACGTCCCTTTTGGATCTGGATGGTGTGGTGCGTCTCGGTCTACCAACGTTGTCTAAATAAACATGAGAGTGAAAAGAAATTGGCCCATCTCTCTTGGGTAGACCGAGACGCACCACTATTTCTAGGGGTAGGTCCCTTTTGATGTGGTGGGTGTGGTGCGTCTCGGTCTACCCAACATTGTCTGAAAAACACACATGAGTGAAAAAGAATATTGGCCCATCTCCCCCGGATGGACCGGTCGGGGGAGATGGGACCGGGCATTGAAAAAGTAAGAAAAAGTAAAAAAAGAAAACATTGAAATGGGAAAGGAACATGAAAATGCCTCGCAGCTATTGCTGCATTTCTTATGCAACATTCAATCAATATGCCCAAGGATGCCATGCTCTGTATGCGCCGAATGTTCAATAAGCCGAAATGGGACCATGGTTTTTTTTGCACAGAAAAGAATAAAACCATCTAATATGGAAACTGTAGTAGGACGCCGACGCCTGATTCCCTAATGCCACGGGTGATCCCTGCCAACCACCGCGATGCGCCGCGCCAAACCGAAACATGAACAGCAATACAAATAGTAGTTAACCAAGGTCGTAGCATGGCGTAATAATATAGTAGGTTGAAGTGTTAAAATCTTTGTAAAGCATGCACCGACTTGGTCTGGCGCAAGTGACACTGACAAGGCGAATCATCGCCAATATGTGACAACCGATAGTGTCTCAGTGCGGAGACACCGGTTGTGTTTCTCATCTATGCACAGAGGATTAGCCGGTGTTTCTTTTCCTCTCTTTATTTGTCCTTTTGTTTTGATATGTGTTTTGAAATTTTTTTGTCATATTTTTTCGTTTCTTTTTCTTTTCTTTTTTCGGTTTTGCTGTTTGTCTATCGAGAGCGGAATGGCTGTTCCCGACAGAAAGTTGCCGTGACTGGCAACGTAATAGGCTCCGAGTAGATTTAATCCGATGATGGGGTTTGACTGTGACGATATTTAAAGTTATTCCTCTGATGGAACGGCGATGGACGAAGTGCTGGCTGGCTGGGGCGGCTCCGACTGCGCATTCAGCACCTGAATGCGTTGTTCAATTAAATTCTGTAGAGCACGAAGAGAGGCGATCTCCGTGTTGGCCGAGGGAAGATCGGGCGGAGCGTTTGCCTTGAGTTGGTCTATAAGCAAGCCGATCTTTCCATCTTCAGGCCCTTGTCTAGTAGGCCCGTCGCCCTGTGCGAGTGAGATGAGGTTCGCGGCCGCTTCCCGCTCAGCGATAGTGCGTGAGTTCAAGATCGCAGCCGCCGTGTCTTCTTCCGGAAGAGCAGGCTTCTGGGACGAGTAGAATGCATTGGCCTTGGCCACGAGCTTGTCGAATTCTGAGGTGGCATAGTCCAGATATTTGCCGGCGGCCTCCTTCATCAGCTTGTATTCTTCGTTTTCCCTTCTCCACAAGTCAGACAAGTCAGAGATTTAACCAACAATCACGCTTAGGAGTCTACTCACCTTTTAACTGTTTGGATGAAGTCCATTTTTAGACCGCGCTCTGACACACGGTACATGATACCTTCCTCTTCCTGTTCCTCCATTCTCTCGACCTCTTCCTCATCTGGAAGGACTTCGACGTCGACCATTCGGGGTCGCTTCGGACGACGAATGCGCTTTAGCACATCGTATCCCTCTTCGTCCTTGACCCAGTATTGTAGATCATGCCACACGTGGTTAGGGCACATCCAGCTGTGGTTCCTACGATTACTTCCGCCTTTTTGAATGGGAGGCATGGGCATAGGCGGGTCACAACAATCCATGTGGAAAGCACAAGGACAATAGTCGCACTGGATGATGGGCTGACGGCCGCCACTCGTGCGACCGCAAGCTGCGCAAAGAATCACATTGCCTTTGGCATCCTGTGTTCGTAGCAGATAAGGGTCATCATAACGGCCATGGCGGGCTCCTCGGCGGGGATAGAACTTGGGAAGTGGCACGACCTCATCGTATTTGTTCTCTTCGCCCGTAGCCACACCGGTGAAGTAATCGCGGATGCCAAGGGGTAACAGGTAGTCTTTCTGTGGAGCGTTGTCCAGGGAACCCAGCAAAGACGTCATAGGCTTTGACAACGAGCATTTCGGGCAAAACCAATCCCCCTCTGGAGGGTTTGCCGGGTCCAATGGCGGGTTAAGACAGGAGAAGTGGAAAGAATTTGGGCAGCCATCGCAACACAGCAGCTGGCCGCTTCCGTTACAATTGTGGCAAAAGTCGTTGTTCTCCTGGCGTTCGTTGTCGCTTCTGCCAGCATGTTAGTGTTCAGAGGAACAAGTGGTAAAGAGACAAGGAGAACTTACGTCAGGGTAGGTGTCAGTCGTCGGTTGTCGCCGGCATCACTACTGGCTGGACTCTCAGAGCGCTGTCTGCTACTCACGCCAGCTCCCAGTGATGCTGGTTGAGATCTACTGGCCGCAGTGGGGACAGGAGATGGCACATTAGACTGTTGTGGGTCAGAAGCCAATGAGGAACGCATCTGACTTTCCAAAGCTATAATGGTTGGGAGAGGCTTCTGCAGGCGAGTACGTTTGATTCGTGCCTCTTCCTCGGGGTTCGGCTCGTCTTCAAGCGCATGCTTCTGTGGGGGAGCCGTAGCAGCACTGGGCGGGGCGACTGGCTCCTTCTTCTTAGGTGCACCCCTTTTGGCCTTTTTACCCCTGGCGCGAGCACGGGAAGTTGCCGCTCCAGGAGCCATGCCGGGGGCAAAAGTCTCAGCATCAAGGGATACCGCCGAAGAGAGTGATGAAATGCTGCTGGCCGACCGGGGGCGAGCCAAGACAGGTGCCGTGGCAATGTCTTCGTCGGCTTCCGCCTGGACCTCCTTCCATGCAGCGCGCATAACACTCTGGAAGGCTGAGCGTTCCCGCGGGCCGGGATTTTCCTGGCAGATACCGTCGAGAATAGAAAGCGCAAAAGGGTCTTTGTTGCATGTCTCCCACAATCTGATGAGACCGCGTGAAACAGGGCGATTGTTGGTCTCTAGCGCCAGTCGGAGGGCTTTTTCGACAGCAACCTTGATCCGATCGACGTCTACATCGGTCGATGTAGGAACAGGCAGAGAAGTAAAAGCAGACATGTCCGGCGAGGCCTTGTTCTTAGTAGACAGAGGTTCGTCCATCGGCTCTTCGGCGGGCGTTAAGGGGGTCTGAGGTTTGGTATCACCTCCCTCGCCGTTCGGTGTGGCCCGTGACTCCTTCTTCGCAGAGATGTTCTGGACACTGGGCTTGATAGGTGCCAGTCCAACCTTGCGCAAGTCGGCAGCCGACGGCATGGTTCCCAGTGGGCGCATACTGGACAGTACGGGGTTCGCGTGATGGGACACATTACACCATGGCGTGTCTGCGAAGCTGGGTTCAGGCTCTCTCAATGGTGGTTCAACCCATCCGGCACTGCTATCAAGAAGGTTTGTATCACTCAGAGTGTCTGAAGCCTCATTCTTCGATTGTTCCAAACGCGACTGGGTACGAGAGGGCGGGTCCTGAGGAGGATCGGTAGCCACGCGGCTGTTCCAGCCAGTGCGGCGCTGCTTGCGAGGCCGTGTAGAATCGGTGAGCGAAGAAGCAGTGCTTGCAGTAGTAGGTGCGCCAAGTGGAGTGGAGGGGCGAGAGTTATTCGACCAGGCGTGGGACGACGAACGGAGATTCGGAGCCATTGTTGTAGACAGGGCTCGCAAGTTGCAACGGCTACAGAGCCAGGGTTAGCCTGCGAAAACAAAAAGTTACGACAGACGAATTGAAATGGCAATTACTCACTGATTAATAGATTCCAAGCAAACACCGAGCGTGCCCAGCGTGGCTGGTTGGAATCGAGGCCAGCCCGCGCGCTGTCTGCGGGTTGATGGAAGGAAGAAAGGTTGCGGAGTTGGAGTGCCGGAAGTTTTCGAGTCCCAATCAGGCCTCCCTCTAGGGGGTTCGCCGCGGAGCTCTGTCAACCACGAAAATACCAGACACCCTCGATCTGGTTTCCATGTTCATTAGATCCTTGAAACTGGATTTTGTGTTGTATAGAATAGAAGACTTATTGTCTTCATTTTCTGGAGTGGAGTGCTTACTAGAGTGACCCTATGATACGCGTCAAGGGGCCGTGAGATAGAATCGTAATAAGAGCCAACACAACTCTGTAAATCCTGCCTAAGTGTCTTATATGACACAAACTGCAATAGGATCGAGGATGTGTAGAAATTAAAATGAAGGCTGAGTTATTTCAGAAAGTTTTTCAAGTCCTGTGATTGGGTCAGCCGTTCAACATCTTGAAGCTTTCCAAGTCCAAGTCTGATGCCCAACGCACGCGGACTATAAGGCAGCGTCCTGATGATACAGTGAGGTCCGTCCAGTGCTTAATGTACATACAACAGCAGGAGAAGACACGAGAAGACAAAAGCACGAGCACCGACTTGGTCCGTAGGAGTAAGCCAAAGCTCTGGGGAAGGAGAACACACGCGCAGAACACAGCTCCAGGACTATGATCAAACTTACCAGGTACGACAAAGTCAATCAGCAATTCTTGGAGCAGTTTCTTCTGCTGTAGCTGATACAAAGACGGCGTCTTGGAAGGAAGAAGACACGATGTATGTGCCGATGTAGATGCCAAAGAAGGAGATTGCTGGATTCAACGACAAAGAACAAACTGGTGAAGCGTTTGAAACCACAAGCAAAGCGAACCTTTTCTAAAAGGCAGACAAACGAAGAAGATGATGGATAAGCGGAAGAAGATGTAGGTTAGTGCAGATGAATGGATGAAAAGGAAAGTTTGAAGAGAAACAAGGAAGCAGGAGAGCAGCGTCCGGAAACTTAGAAGAAAGGTCAAGTTCGCAAACGAGGATTCTGCAATGTGTTATACACAACGCGTGTGTTTTCTATGCAGAAAGATCGTGGCTGACTTCTCTGGAAAGGTTCCGATATCAGACTGATATCAGACTGATGAGTAGGAGGGGTTGACGATGCGGAAGAGCAAGGAGATGTGATTCTTGAACGTGTTGTTCAGGTAATAACTTGAGCTACACGTTGTAGAAGAATGATCAAGAATGAGAAGAGAAGAGAAATCGGAAGGGGGAAGAGCGAGTAGTTAAGAAAGCTGTTGTGGCTGGGGTTCTTTGGGGAAAGTGAAGCAAGTGAGTGAATGATACTCCGATGTCACTGAGAGCGAATTTGCAGCCGCGGGAAAAGAAGGGTACGACACTGCCGCAAGTACTCCAGAGAAGTAGACAAAAGATGTTTCTCCTGTATTTAGAATAACAAACCGTCCAGAGATGATGGAAGTCGGTAGGAGAACTTTGGGTAGGAAGTGGGAAGGGGAAAGGCACAGGGAAGGGAGAAGATGGAAGATGGAAGAGGAGGAAGGATTGGGGAGAAGCCAGACGGAGGTCAGTTGGCCCACTCCTTCAACCTCCATGCCCTCTCAACACCCAGAGTGCCCAACACACCTCTAGGAAGCTCTCAGTGAATGAGCTGGGACGGGCTGAACACAGTATGTTCACTCAAATCAACCTTCTTGGATAGACAGCTGGTCCTCCTTCACTCCGTGCCTCCCGCCCCAAGCCACCAAACTAGCTGGATTCACTGCCGGTATATGGCTATTTG